TTTTTTTTTTCACCTAAAGCCACCACTGAGAGCAACAGCGACATTAGCACTGCAGTTCATTATGGTGTGCATGAAAGAGGGCACAGGGAACTATTTACTATCACACTTTACTCCTCCTGTAGTTCTGCCTCCGTTATTAACCATATCCAGCACGTGCATTGTCCTCTTCCTAGAGCTAAGAAATGTCTTGGAGATGAAATCAGAAACTGTCAAATTATTATAGTTCTGACTCTTGGGGTTTGCACTGCTGGATGAGACTCTATCATAAGGGATGGAAGGAACTCAAAGAAAATAAAACCACTGATTGATCGAGGATAGTGTAGCAAAACAGTGCCATGGAGGCAGTCTCAGAGCACTGATAATCAAATCATCCATAACAGCCACATCAGACACCAATTAATTATTTCCTAAGATTTCCATCTAAACCCAAGGCAGGAGGAGAGAACTATTTAGTGACTGTTATGAAGTATATAAAGTTAACATCATGAAGGACTCATGAGGTTAATATTTTTATTCACCTTTTACAATTCCCAAAACTAAAGCTCACAAAGGACAGATAATTTGCACAAGTCCATGGAGCTGGAGAGTAACAGACTGGAATTCCATTCAGAGTGTATAACTCCTAAAAATCCAGCTGCATGGCTGCTTTATAGATAATCTGGATTCTTCTATACTATAGAGCACAGCATTTTGTTTTAAGTATATATAGTCCAATAGAAAATGATATCTGTAGAACAGAAACATTACTTACAGGCCAAGGAGACTACTATTTGAACTTAGTAACCCAGAAAAATATCTGAGAAATTCAGTTATTGGTAAGACTGACAGAAATACACATCTGAAAATAATGAAGAAAAAAACATGTTTTCCCATTTTCTTTTTTCCTGTATTCTGCCTGATGGTGGCACCAATGAGCAATGGAATAACCAAAAGCCAGGAAACCTGGCAACACTCTCCGCTCAGTGTTCTAACTCTAAAAGGACTGATGAAGGCCTGGGGTGGGAGGCAGTGGCGAGGTAGTAGGGGGCCAAGAAGGAAAAAACAGGGACATCTGTAATACTTCAAAAAAAGACAAATTAAAAAAATAAAAATAAAAGGACTGATGAGAACTCTACTCTGCTTACATACAGAAAGGATTTCTTAATTGAATACCTTTTATGCACCACCTGCATTATATACATTGTCATATTAATGTTCCCAATCATTCTATGAGATAGATATTATTAGCTTCAAAGTTTTCTAACAAATGAGGAAACAGAGATACACAGAGACTAGGTAAAATGTCCAAAGCTACCTGTCTGTAAAGTATATAGTTTGGAAATTCAAACGCAGGTCATTTCCAATCCACTATGCTGATCCTCAGGATGTGTTCCTCAGATTGTGTGATCATACATTTTCAGAATTTACATTACATAAAATATTTTATAATTAACAAAAACCCTCAAAAGTTAAAAGGGAACTGTAGGAATTTATTTTTTGGAGGAGATGCCATGAAGGAGCTGTGATGTTTATTGCATTTTGTTTGTTCAGTTTTCCAGTTTGGAACTTGAGCCAGTGTTCTGCTAACACCAGAAAAGGGAAATTATGGTAATGTCTACTCTATAAACATGGAAATGTGTCTAATCTCTGAGGATTAAACTATCAAAATACTATATAATTGTAGAATGGATCAGATAAGAGATTTAAAATACTTTCAGTAAGGATGTTTCTCAGGCCAGGAAGAACTGATTAAAACTGAGAAATAATGTATTTATCTAAAAAAGGGTTGATTAGCCATGGAGACCTATTAAAAAGAGACTAAAAGAGGTGAGCATTGGTAGCTCCTATCTGTGTACATTTTTATTTCACTGGCAAAACCACCTTTGATAAAGATTAATGAAGCCAATCAAATATTCTGGGATTTCAACTGCCCTTGCATTGAAACACCCCTTATTTAAGTAGTCTGCCATTCTTTTGTGATTTGCTTTTCCATGTACTCAGTCTGCAAAGAGAATGCACGGGTCATACAGATGCAGGAAAATTAGTATTTTGTGTCATGTGGCAGTTCTTTTGCATCAAATTCCTTTTCTCTGTGCTTTCCACAACGACTTGCACTGTACATTGTACATAAATGTTACAATAGATAAATCATCATTGTCATTGAGAATGTAGGTGGGTGTGTGGGCACAAAACTGTAAGACTGGATATATTGCATTCTCCATGATATTTTTCATATTTAATATTAGTCATCAGCAATAATTGCAATTAATAGGAGGCAGTGAGGCCCATTGGTTCAGAAAAAGGCTTTGGTTTTCGATCAAATTTGGAGTTCTAGCTCTAGTATTTCTATCTGTGAGGCTGTGGGCAAATTAATCTCCAGATCTGTACTGTATAATAAGATAGTCAGTAGTCACATATGGCTATTGAAATGTGGCAACCCAAATTGAGAAGTGCTGTGTCCATACCTTATTTTGAAGACTTAGCACATGCACAGGCACATACATACACAAGTATGTAAAATATGTTATTTTCTAAATTGCATGATGAAATGATAATATTTTGGCTAAATAAACATTAAAATAACTTCACCTGTTTATTTTTAATATTTCTAATGTGGCTGTTAGAAAATTTAAAATGACATACGTGGCTTGAATTATACTTTTTTCCACAGAGCTATCCTAAAAATCTTCAGTTTCTTCACCAAAGAATGGGTGTAATAACATTATTCACCTCAAATTATTGTAGTGATATTTAAATAAGATAATGTACCTAAAATGCTTAGTACAGTTCCTGACTTTAAACAAAAAGTTGTTCACTCTCCAAGAGTTAGGAAATAAATATGTTAAGTAAAATTTAAAAACACACACACAAAACAACTTAAGCCCTAATAAGCTAGAGACAACTACTTAAAGAGAAAGCTTTAGTTAAAAACTAATTTTCTTTATGCCAAGTAAAATCATTTACTTCACTCTCTAAAAACAACAAATATACATATGCAGTGGTTGAAGGAGGGACACTATTGTGACATACACAAATGAAAATGTGTATGCCAGTGCTTTGAAGAGTTAAAAGTACTTCCTCAATTCCAAACATTTTCACTGTCATAATTTGTACATTAACTTTTACATTTAACTGGTAGATGTTTCTAATGTTGAGGCATTCAAATCACAAATGAAAACAAGGCTGCAACTGGTGTCAAGTCCACAGAAGACAAATGAGTTTCTGCAGAAGCTAAAGACACAGAAAAAGGGGAAAGCCTGGTAGTTATAGAGCTTTTCCTCTTCAGTAGTTTAGAGGGAGAAACACTACCTAGCTGATGAGAAAATGCAGAATTCAACTGAAGACACTAGAGGGTGCTATTAGGGAGAGCTTAGAATGATGAATAAAATCTTCCAACACCCTTCCCCCGCTCCACCACTATAGATTATAAGAATTTGAAAAAGACATACCTCTGAAATGAAACTAACACTTCTTTATTCTTTCCAGGATGTGACTTGCAAGATTTTTTAAATTTATTTTAGTCCTGGGACTGACCTTACGACATTGCCAAAATAATAAAATATTAGAAGTTTGCTATAGTACTTGGGCAAATAATTGGGAAAAGTTTGAAATGGTTTCCTGCTCTCAGAAAAACTTTGTCAAAGCCTAAGTAATTGAGGATGAGAAGTAAAAATACCTAAGAAAGGGCTTTCAATGAAGAAAATATTTCAACAGGAATTCCCCATAACTCCAGCAACCTGTGTAATTAAATCGGGGTGGGACACTTGTTTGGTAATCATGCCATGTAAGTTTTTCTCTCTCTCCCTAGGTTTCAACAGCTACATACACACAGTAGACAGAAACTGCAGCTGAATTTCTTTCATACAAGTCTGGGAATTATAACTTTGTGTGATGAACTTTGCTGAAGTACTGAGCTCTCGTTAATGCAATTAAATGAATGAAGGTATGTGGTATCCTCAAGGTTGCTGTTTCTTATTAAAGAATGAGTTTCCCCTACTGTACTCTCATTTTTCTACTGATGAGTAGTTGCAAACTGTACTGGATGAGGCTTTTCATCTCTGTGTTATTTGCCTGTAGTGTGATGGAAGTACGGGAGCAGGGAATGTTAGTATGCCTTTTAAAGTGTAGAAGGATCAGAATGCTATTAACAGTCTCTAGACTTCTTTCCTCAGGACAGGCTTTAGCTTGAGTTCTACAGATGTTGCCTGGTGAGGTGAAAGATTCAAAGAGATTTTGGTTGCTGAGGGAAACAGAATCTTTTTTCCTTGTTTCTTTTAAAATTGAGATTGAATTTTTTTTCATCTTACCAAGACTTCTATGTGGTCATCTCTTCGGGAAGTAGGTACCAACTACTGCTCTAAATTTAAGAAATTAGACACACATATGAAAACAATCACATAATGTTTACAAAGCAATATATTGGGATTAATAAAAAAACAAACATATATTTTAAAAGAATCTTGGGCTAATCCTACACCACGCTGAGGTTTCTTTTCTCTTTAAGTCTCTTTATTTCTATTATAAGATATGACTGTGAGCTAAGTAGACTTAACTTTTGTATTGTTTGTGAAATCAGTTATTTTCTGATTTATGATAACAAATATGCTGTGTATTTCATTGAAATGTGAGAAAACTGCTTTAATTTAAAACACACACACACCATATTGTGTTTTAGTCAACATTGTGTTTAATGGAAAGCTACTTTGAACCATTTTTCATTGACTGATTTACTGCAGACATATGATTTCAAATGATTAGATACACATTAAGATAATCAACATAGTGTTTCTGTTTTAAGATTGAATAGTATTTATTTCATCATTATTGAAACTTAGCTGAGTGTCAGTTTCTGTCTTTGGGTAAAATGCAAAATCGAAGAATTCTTCTCAGTTGCCAAAATGCAGATGGTCTCAACTATTCCTTTTAGATTTCCTTTCACATAAGGTGAAGAATGGTGATACATTTTACTTTCAAGAAAAAACAAAAGATGTCTTGAATTTTTCAATTAATCCTTTTTTTCTTGAAACCACAGGTGCAATTTAGCACACTATTGATCCGATGGTGGTTATGTTATTTGACAAGCTAGACAGCTAAGAAAAAGATTTGGAGCATGGAAGGGTTCTCCTTTAAAAGAAAAAAATGTAGCGCAAAATTGGCAAGGCAAATAAAATATTGCTTCTGGATTTCTTCCTCTGTGAATGTTGCTATTATCAGACTCTGTCTCCTCTAGATCTATTGCTGGAGCTCAAAGCACTAAAAGAACTTCTCCAGACTGAACCTAATCCTTTCATACCAAAGAATCTTTCAAAAACTTCCATCTGGTCCACTGATTGGTTTTCAAATTCAATGTCTTTTCAGACTCAGGGTTCAGTGTTCTTGTGGTAAATTTGACAAATTCAAGTTTTATTCCAAGTCCAACCCTAGTGGTCCAGTTTGTACAGTTAGCCATGTGCCTCGGTTATATGAGTGGCATTCTAGTACCCACTGGTACTACCAGTGTTCAAGCTCTGATACTCAGATGGAGCATTGACATGGACTAGTTTCCACCAGTCCATTTCCCTGGTGTTGTAGGCTCATTGTCAGTGAAATAGTACCTTACTTGGCTGAGAGTCATGATCTCAGCAGGACAACTTTCTTAGAACTGTCCTATAAATACCAAAATTATTTATGACTCAAATAGCACGCTTTATGCTTTATATTCTTGGACATTTATTCTATAGAAGATGCTGAAGTGGGTAGGCTATATTTGTAAGCCTTCCGCAATTTATCATAATAAGTAATGATGTCTTATTCAAAGGTATTTATAATTCCTGAACAATACAACTGAATTACTTACCATCCACACTTCCACTCTAATCAATTATTAATTATTCTCTAAAAAATAACCATAGGGATGTAACAATGATCAAAAAATTACAAATAAAATATCAGAAAATGTAAATTAACATTGTCAGAAACTTGTTAAATGACATAGATTTCCCAAAGTCCTATGAATTATTAAAATTGCCCCCTTTTCACAAGGATCACTTGAGGTGGGGAGCATGAATGCATTTCTGAAAAAGCGATAATGTTTTAAAAATGCATTTACAAGATGAGATGTGTGGTAACTTTGAGTTGTATGTCAGTAAGTTACAATGATAATGAAGTGGCTATCTTTAAAGCTAGTTAAGGATTTCAAGAATTATGTACTTATACTTTAAGTATTAAACTGTATTTGTCAGCTATTGTTATAAACTAACATTTTATGGAGAATTAAATACAACTATAGTTTGTACTAGATTAACTTAGTTATATCTCTGTGTCATTCTAGTCTTTTAAAAATCCTTCTGAGTTAACAATGCACAAAACAATATAAATAAAAATTTTCTCTGAATATAGTGCTTGCTTATACTTTACAGAAAGATTATGGCATGAGATGCAGTCTAATGGGAAAATTGTCAGATAAATAATATCTTTATTATTACTTTAGATTCTCTTTATGAAGGAATTAAAAATTACAGTTAAATAAACAAAATTAACTTGACTTAGAGTTCTATTCAAATAATAATGAATGAAAATAAATTCAAAAACTAGAAGATAGTCTTTTTGTCTCCAAGGCATGTGTGGGAACTAGGAACCTGGATTGGATCTCAAGGAGTAGGAGGGAGCCAAGGAGGAGGGGTATGAAGAATAAGCAACATTTGGGGTTCTGAGAGAAGGAAGGCAGTACAGGTCTTTTTTCCTTCTAAACCTATTTTCTTTGATTTATCCTTCAACTTTACTACCATCACTTTTTAAAAATTTATCTTTATTGTTGAAAGAATTACAGATGTCCTCTTTTTTCCCCATTGACCCCTTCTACCCCGCACCTCCTCCCCTTCCCAGGCCTTCACCACACTATTGTCTGTGTCCATGGGTTATGCATATATGAACATAAATTACTACCATCACTTTTAAAACTTATTCTGTGCTATTTCTCTTTCAACTTTTCAACAAGTACTCCAGGAGGTTGGTGAGGGGAAAAAGGGAAGGATACCAAAGAAGGAATTGAAGTCATCAGTCTCTTCATAATGACTTTTGTATTGCAGACTTGGGAAAGAAAGGAAGGGAGATATCAGTTAGCAACAGTGGAAAGATACAAATCGATGTTCAAACCCTGTCCTTGAACCTCTAACCTCTTTACTTTCAGCTCCTCAGATGCAAGTTCCATCAGTGTAGTCTTCAAAAGAAAACAACTCAGAGTGGAGAAGGCAGTAATGGTGTGTGTGCTGTGATTGAGGCCCTCTAGGAGGCAGAAGAGGAATGTGTTGGAGTTGAGGAAGGTAGGGGTGCTGCCCAGGGTGGAAACCGTTTTATTTAGAGTAGGATCTCTGGGTCTTTAATATACAAATTTGTGTGGTGACACTCCAGCAGGAGCATATGAGGAGTTTATTCAACCAGAGAACCCTTTTGAAATAGTATGAAATAATATGAAATATGCTGTTAGGTATCTTTAAAAGCACTTTTCTGGCTCTTCAAACCTGTCTGCCCCATCATAATGACGTTAATCCTTCTGCATATAACTATGTCATGCTATTCAAATTCATGGTACCCTTGATATGCTACTTCCCAAAGTAGACCATACACCCTTTCAAAACTAAAGATAGGAAGAGCAATTTATGGATATGGAAATGAAAGGGGATAAATTAAAGAAATCTGTACATTGTGGTACAACAATGAGAGATCCCATTGTAACTGTTTTTTGTCATAATATATTACATTTTTGTGTAGAACTTGTCCGGAACACAATTTTAATTTAATAAGCTTTTTTTTTTTGGCTACATTTTTACGGTATAGCATGAAGAAAACAGAAACAGCTATGGTGTATTTTACCTAAGAGTCTAGAAAGCCTGAATTCAATGTGTGATTCTGTGGCATTCTAGCTGTAGAACATTTGCTAAGTTACTTAAACTCTCTATGTTCCAATTTTAATAACTCTGTATTGAGATATATAATTATCTTGAGAATTGTTATGAGGAACAAATGAGATAATGAGCATGAACACTGCTAATGAAACACCTGATACATCTTAATGTAGTTGAATACTCCAATAGACCAACATATTTAGACTTCATTTGACACCTAAAGTAGTCATCAAGGTATAAGAAAATGGGAGGTCAAGATAGCTGTATTATTTACCCACTCATTTGTTAGTTCATTTATTTATTCATAAACAAGAACTTAATGAAGAACTATATATTCAAAGCACATTTTAAGGTAAATTCTGTAAATTGCCTTTCCATCTCACATGTATTTTAGAGATCTAGATGGTAAGTTGTATAATTGTAAGTATGACCCCCATTCACCAAAGGAAGCAGGGAGAAGGTATTGGTAACCTCAATTTATTTGTAGAAAATGAACATCCCTTTTCACCTCACCTCCCACCATATCACTATATCTTCTTTGAGGAGTAATTTGCCTTTAAGTACATTCCAAAATTAAAATTAATGCTTTGTATTATATGTATGTGTGTGCACATATATGTATAGATAGTTAAATACATACATACACATACACACACACACACACACACACACACACACACACATATATATACATATATATATATATATGTATATATATGTTTTGAAACAGCAGGTCGTCACAAGTTTAGATCATTTGAACAACCATACAGTGATCAAATGATTGATATAAACAGAGGCAGATTTACTATGAAGCTAATGAAGTTTTTGCTTAAGGCCCCTCATTTGCATAAATCTCTTTTGAGGCCTGATATTAGAAAACAATTGTCATATGAAGAGACAGTGAAATGATATACAGCCAAAAATGTTGAAAAAAGTATTACAGAGATATGTCAAGCAGTTTTTAATACACATATGCCATTCTCTTGAATTTTGTGATGTTTTGTGATATCAGCTTTAGAAAATTTGTTATTTGGTGCGATTCTTTTCTCTCTATAAATTA